ATCTACCATTTGCAACAACATGGATGAATCTGAAAGACATTACTCTATGTAAAATAAGCTAGACACAGAAAGACAAATACTGTATGATCTCACTTGTAAATGGAATGTTTTTAAAAAGCCATTGAATACATAGTAACAGTAGAATAGTGGTTACTAGGGGATAGTGGGCGGGGGGGAAAGGAAGTTGTTGGTCAAAGAGTATAGACTTTCAGTTATAAGATGAGTAAGTTCTGGAGACCTAATGCACGACATGGAAACTATAGTTAATAATAATGTATTGTATTCTTGAAATTTTCTGAAAAAGTAGATCTCAAGTGTTCTCACCAAGGAAAAAAGTACAGGAGATGATGTATATGTCAGTTAGTTTGTGGTAATCGTTTCACCATGTATACATATATCAAAATATGTTGTATACCTTACATATGTACAATTTTTATTCAATCATATCTCAATAAAGCAGGGGTGAGGGGAAAGTAGATTAAATGCTTATAAAGCTGTTGTATATCTGAAAGTCTATTTTTTTAAGCCAGCTTTCCCTTATGTTTAATTTTAAGTCTGCGCAGAATTCTCCTTGCACAGCCACGGTTTCTAAGACGTGAAGGTGGTGGGTAGGTCTTATGGAGGCAGATCCAGGGAGTCTATGCAATGTGACTGGTAAGACTCTGGCTCTGAAGTCAGACTATCAGGGTTTGAATTCCCCCCTCCCCAGACTGGTAAACGTGGTTAATGTGTCCGTAACTCAATTTTCTCATCTGTAAAGTTAGGGTGATAGTAGATTGTTATGAGATGAAATGAGGCGATGTCAGCAATATGCTTAGTCAGTGCCCACAACACTGTACGTTCTCATTTCATGTAAATCATGCACGTGATGGTTATCATCTTCCTGCCTTTCTTCTCCTTTCCTCCCACAGCTGTGTGACTTTCTCCATTCTCCAACCATACAGCAATCTCAGGGAAGTCTGCGGGGTTCCATATTTTCTGGGAGGTGGTAATAGTACAATAGGGAATCTGGTTTTGATGGTAGGCTACGAAGGTTTGAGAGTCTCTGGTGATCTGTCGTGTTCACTGACTACTAACTCTCTCAGGTGCCAGCAGTTTGTAATTGACTGTCCTTTGCAGAGCTGCAGAGGAAAGGGGACCGTGTTGTTTCACAGTGTGGTACCTGGAATAAGGCAGAAATAATGTTTTTGTAAATAAGCCTTGAGTAAGGCAGGAATCTTTTTGTGTAAATAACCATACTAACAAAATAACCACCTAAGACAATATCTTTCAAACCTTTCCGACCACAATTCACCATAGGAAATATTTTATATCAGATTAGGTTCACGTGTGTATGTACACACTCAAAATGGAAATAAAGTTTCACGGAACAGTACATTCTCTTACCACCTGTAATGCAATATTTCTGTTCCATTCATTGCAATGAATTGTCGTTCGTGTCATTCAATTTCATTCCTTTCCATTCTCTGAAAAAAGACCAGCAATTTGAAAAATATTTATCTAAGAGATCAGTGGGCCTGAACAAAAATAGAAATATGTGAATAAGAATAAAGTAGGATATTTTTCAGCTCTACGTTTTTAATATTTTTTAAGTAATCATCACTATCTTATATTAAAAAACAACAAAACAAAAAATACTACTTGTTAGGTGAATTCCTTTCTAAAGAAAAAATCAATTATTACTTAGCTCTTACTATTTAAAAAATTAGTCTAATTTGACCTTTTTCTTTTTTTTAGGAGACAGTGTCTTACTCTGTCACCCAGGCTGGAGTACAGTGGCCCGACCATAGCTCACTGCAGCCTCCAGCCCTGGGCTCAAGTGATCCTCCTGAGTAGTTGGGACTATAGGCATGAACCAACACACCTGCAGTTTTTAAATGTTTTGTAGATACAGGGTCTTGCTATGTTGCCCAGGCTGGTCTAATTTGACCTTTTAAGA